TATAGGGTTCAGCCTCCTGATGAGTCGGTGAAACTCCGACGAAACAGTTTGTCACAGCCCCTCGTTTGTTGTCCTCTTCTCCCTCTCTGCCTACGGTTTACCGGGCAGTTCTATTTGACGATATTCTATTTGACGATATATATGTATATTTTTGGCCGGGCCGGGCGAAAGTGACCGTGGGCCACTCTGGTAGCCTAGGTAATTTCCTTAATGTCAAACGAACACTACTTCCAGTGGCCCCCCTCCCATGATGAACCGGAATACATGAGGGGGCAACACATACCCACCAATTGTAAATGGGTGGCTTGTCAGGGTACATGGAAGTGGCGACTGACGACCTGTGGTGAAAAATGCCAGTTTGGTGGGAAAGTAGGCTCCGACTATATGTAGTGTGGTGGCTTTAAGCTTAAGCTTAGGAAGCTTACCTTTGGTGAACTGAATGAATGCCTGTGTTTCGTTTTGCATTGCCGTCAGAATGCCCTGAACAGTGAACAGCCATTTGGTTAGACCACCGGTACACCCGGGCCGTCTGGCGGCCTTCCACTGCGCGCCAAGCTTTTTCAAACCACCGACAGCGCATTTCTGTTCTTTTTTGGCTGGGGCCGCCAGCGATTGTGGTCCGGTAAACCGAAGCCTCCAGAATTTTCGTAGGTGATGAAAGGCTAAGGCTTCTCCACAACACTGGGCCCGTGGACTGACGGTTTAAAATGTACATCGTGTATTTTTGAACGAAAGTGAAACCGACGTATTTGGCCCAAAAAAAATCATTTCTTTTTGCAATTGGACCGCAGTGTGTGCTTTCTCGTGAATTTGTACTTGGAACTTAGCCAGGATGGTAACAATTCTCATTTTCACATTGAGCTGAGTAGTGAATTGAGGCCGTTACCTCTGGACGCGATTGCAGTCAGATTCCTATGCTAAGCCATAATTGCAGGAAGACAGCCCCAGCGTACTTGCTTTTTTGCAAAGACCCTCTGGGGACCTATGGCCAATTTGCATATGTTTGAATTCCGATTTGTAGAGCTGAACAGTGGCTCTGCTTGGGGGTCTGATCTGCACATGGTCTATACAAGTACATAGCATGGCCATTTGCACAGGAAGAGGACGCTTGACTGCTGGGCACTGGGTCACGGGCCCGAAACCTGATGTAGGTCAGCCCAAAAATAAGGGGCAGCCCCAGGTAATTCAGAAATATCTTAGGGATAGAGGGAAAAAAAACGGAAATATCTTTGGGTCTGGCTTTGTTCTGCTCACCCGATTGCGTCTGGGTTCAAACAAAACTCTGTGACCCTCTATTTCAAGTGTTCATGGGTGTATGTCCTGAGCTATCCCGGGCTCTACTGGCCAACCGAGAGTGCCATCCACTCGACATGCTACGGTCCGCCCTGCCCTCACACCCAGGAGCAGTCGTCGTGCCTGCAATGCGAAGCGCCTGTGGAACATCGGTGCCCGGGTCCTGCGTGGACATGGAGACAGGAAGGGTTGCAGCCATATTTGCCCACTACCGTCTGCTGCGGCTGTTGGCTGCAGCGCGCCGAATAACTAGTAAGTTACAAATTTTGTAAGCTTTCTTTCAGATGAATCAGATGCTAACAGCACATTCTGGTCAACGATCAGGAAAAAAAAAAGAAAACTCTCTTGATGAGATATGTGATCGGTGGGGATGATCAAGGAAAAGAAGTAAATCACATCTATGAGAAAGATGTAAATAACTCAAATCAATTCAGCTGCTGGCATCCTGCTGCACCACCAAACTTCATGTTTATTGAAAAACAATTCTGTATGGTTATAACGTCTGCTGATGACAGAAAGAGACTGCTGCTGATCTTGCCGGACTTGATGGGATGCTGTTGGTTTTCGTTTGGGGTCTGGGGCGAGGGATTAAGAGGGGGGGGGGAGAGGGGGAGGCCAGCATAC